AGAGCCAGCTGTGCCCTCCCGCTGTTCGTTCCTCCACTCAGCACTGGAGAATCGGAGTGGGGAGGGGGGGAATCCCAGTGGGGAGCAGTGACTGACAGTCACCTCTCACTGCAGGGAGACGATCGGGAAGTGAGCGGATCAGCTGGATGCTTCTGCTCACTTCCCGATCAATAAAGCCGACCTGTGACAGCTTCTTTGTCACAGGTCGCTCTAACTATGAGGATGAGTGGAAATCACTCACCTCATAGTTCCTCTTTAAGCTGTCCTTAAAAATTTGGAACAATGGTCTTGACTTAATTCTTTGAGAACTTGAGGGTGTAAGCCATCTGGTCCTGGAGATTTGTTCCCATTTAGTTTTTCACGTTTCTTTTTTTTAACCTGCAATTCTGTCAGTACATTATTAGTATTGTTATGACTTTTATGTTTGTTAAACCCATATATTTCGCCTGTATAACCTGAAGAGAAGAATGTATTCTCCCTGTCACTTGTAACATTCTTCCTGTTCATATACTATGGAACCTACATGTTCTGTGCTTAACTTTTTACTACTGATATATTTTATGAATTTTTGGGGTTTCTTATACTTTCTGTAAAAATCTATTTTTCTATCTTAGCTGCCTGATTACATTTTTGTTGCTGCATTCCTTGTAGTACAGAAATGCTGATAAAGAGCCTTCCATCTTATATTTTTTAAAGGTCATTCTTTTCTCATTTATATGTCTTCATACCCTAGAATTATGAAATGTTTAATAATAGTATTAAACTTTTGTTCTTTTATATTTCTTACCTAATGGCATGCACTGGTGAATGCCATTGTTGTCCTTTAAAACTCTCCCACTTGTCCTCCATATTCTTAGCTAAGAACATTTGGTCCCAATTAGTATAATATAATGAGTGAAGCTTCTTAAAGTTAGCCTTTTTTGAAGTTTAATGTTCTTGTCATACCAACATGTCTCTATTTCTTCCAATCTACCGCAAACATAACAAAATTAATGTTTTGATATCTAATGATGTATAAACTATAATTTATTTTGTAAACTTGTTTCCCTATTTTCCATGTCTGCGATCAGCTTGGTGTTATTTAAAATTAGTAAATCCAACAGAGCATTTTTTTCTAGTTGGGGCTTCTGCTATTTGACCCATGACATTTTCCTGCAATAGATTCAAGAAATGGCGAGCCTTAATTGAGTGTGTGGTTCCATTCCAATCAATATCAGGATCATTAAAATGCCCCATAATAATAACATTGACCTGCTTCCCGCCATTGTTTTCTGTGAGAGGCTGAATTTCCTCCTTTTGACTTATGTTAGGGGGCCTATAGCATATACCTACCAGTAATTTACCTTTTTTTTTCCCATTCATTTGCATCTCCAGCCATACGGACTCCACACTGTGACAAATCTTGTTAGTGATGTCATCTCTTACATTCACTTTCAGATCGTTCTTGACATACATACATACTCTTCCCCCCTCCTTCCTACCCAATCCAACCAAAACAGAGTGTATCCCTGGATATGTGCAGCCCATTCTGTAGGTGACAGATTAAAAAACCATTACAGATCATCACATTATTCCCCTGGCATGTGTGTTGGATAGTAGGTGTTTGCTTATGTATCTCCACCCTAATAGCGTGTAATATGTCCAGGAGGGGAGGGGGGCATGCATGGGGCACTGTGTTAGAAATAATCAGGAAAAGATTTTCTGCCTGGCAGAAGTTCCTGGTCTTTGCTGGTTTGAGGACAGTATAAGTATCCTTCCATGGGAAGTCAACAGAAAAGGTTATGATGGATTTCCTATGTATTGCAGCAGGTTTTAGAGTACATCTTAACAAACTGGATGACATTTGGTTTGCTGAAGCATTAACAGTTGCCAGTGTGTGGCTCAGCCCTTCAGAACATTCATATAACTGATACCATTTTTGGGTGAATTGACCTTCTTTAATCCCATACCACTGTGTGGCTTTACCACTTTCTGTGACTCCATTTGTCACACTTTAAAGTAATTGTGTTATAAATTAGGCATTTGCTAGCAAGTGAACAAGTAGCATGTTTGATAGCATGGTATCTCATGTAGTTGGCTAAAGCCATCTATTCTATATGATCCCAGTTTCCCTCACTGTAAAATGTAAAGCCATTTCCTGCATTATAGGAGATATGCTTCAACAGTTTTCCATGCATATAACATGCAAGAACATAGGTCTTCTCTAGTGCAGCTAAAAATCTGTTAGTTCGGAAGCCAACAACTGGTAAGTCAGCATGCTCCTCCCACAGTTTTTGCATGGATCATATATTTAATTTCTGTATGGATAAACTTGTATCATTTTTTTCTCTTTTACCAATGCAGACCTGGGGGAGGCACAGGCTGACAGGTCCAGGCTACTACAGATCTGTCCTTAGGGATGCCATACAAAATTGGGGGATGGGTCTAAGCTTATGAGTCATAGACTGGATGGCTGTTTTATGCCATGTCGGTAATCATTACTTTCACAACATTTAATTCTAAAATGCAACTTTTTCTTCCTTGTACATCACAGGACACAGGGAGTTAATTCTGAAACCAATGGGCTATGCAACTACCTTCAGGTGACTGGACACTAGGGCTGCAACTGACTATTATTTTCATAATTGATTAGTTGGTCGATTTATTTTTTCGATTAATCGGATAAAAAAATACCATCCTTAATTTAAAATGAAATACACAAATGCAGTGTTACAAACACAAAGTTTACTTCAGAATAAAACTGCATATACAATATTTTGCAATTGCACTACACTGGAACGCACAGCATTGTGGTACCATGCGTTCAAGTGTGGGCAATTACACTGTGAATGGGGTGCCATTTAAATGAATGGCATTGTAACGCACCTCCCGCAGCAGAATTTGTCAGGCCGAAACCAAAAATGACTTTTTTCCCACCTTCTATAATTTTATTTTAAATAATTGTATTGTAAGCACATGGCGCTTGAATAGCTTCAGCCAGGGAATGACAGCTGCCATTGGCAAGATTCCACAGACACCAGCTGAATGCAAATACAGCAGGTAGTGGGGCTGCTGCAATAGCCAGCCTGCTATTGGCCATTTTTAAATTGCAATAGCAGTCTGGCTATTGCACCCACCAACTGCTTGCTGTGCCCTCCATCCAGCGTGGAGGAGAGAGCTAGGGGATCCAACCAACTAATCGATAATGAGAATAGTTGACAACTATTCTCATAAACGATTAGTTGGTTGCAGCCCTACTGGACACTGGCAAGCAAAAGCTGTTACTAATCCTCTCACTCCCAGCCTGCCTCAGTTTTGTAGCAAGCAGTACAAGAGTGGAACACAAACAGAGTGAAGGGTCCCAACAGAGAAGTATAATAGAAGGGGACACTCAATTCAGAGTGTACCTGAAGAACCTCATGGCCAAAGCTAGCATCTGCAGAAACCTGAACGTCCACCTGGCAAAAGTGTGAAAGGAACAGGTGGCATCCTTACAGATTTGGGATAAGGAAGCCTGATGCTGGAAGACCCAAGAAGTACTAAGGCTCCTAGTAGAGTGAGGCTTGACCAGAAAAGAGGGTAACGTTACCCTTCAACTCAAAGGTCTGAGTGATAGTATACCAAATCAACCTAGCGATAATGGAATGAGAAGCTGGCTGCTCCATACAAGGACCCTCAGAAATGACGAAGAGGGAGTCAGACTTGTGGATGGAAGCAGTAGAAGAAAGATATATACAAACAGCCTGATCTACATCCAAACAGTGAAGAATAGCCCATCCAATTAAGAACGAACTCCCTGTGATCCGCTCTTGTACTGCTTGCTACAAAACTGAGACAGGCTGGGAGTGGGAGGGGATAGGCAGGGCTGTGCTAACAGCTTTGGTTTGCCAGTGTCCTGTCACCTGAATGAAGCTGTGTAAACCGTTGGTTCCAAAATGAATTCCCTGTGTCCTGTGATGTACTCCAAGAAATGGATTTTACAGGTAAGACAAAAATCCTGTTTTTTAGAATGTCAATCTTTACAAATTACATAATGTTTGACTATTTTCATGTTTTCAGAGTCACAAACGACATTACAATACAATCGTCTTAATCTGTTTATTATTCATGGATAAAGACATTAAACAATTCACAGTAAAAGTATTATGGTATAACTAGGGCTACTGCTCTTAGTTTGGTTGTAGGTAATGCATTATGAGGAACCAGTAAAACAAATATTTTCAGTTTTGTTAAAGGTTTGGGTTTTCATATCCCACATTTCAGCAATAGATACATGGGTTCTTATTTATCAGAATGTCTAAAATGTAGCACTCTCTGTATTTTTAGCAGTCATATTGATTTAAAGCTTTGGTTACTGTAATGCAAAGTAGACAGTTCTTATTTTAAACACTTTGATAGATAAGATCCCACTGTGAACTAGATTAGGGAGAGCTGGGCTACCTATCAGTTGTCAAACCAGTGATTTCTTATGAGTAGAATCAACAGTGGCTGCGAAGGAGGAGATTCAACTCTCTCATGTCATCAATAGGTGGGGTTACAATAAAGAGCTCTTTCTATCTGTTATTGTATAACACTGTATTGTAGAATATTCTTTTGCTGATTAACCCGGGGTTCTAATCTTCAACCTAATCGTTTGTTTCTGTTCATAGTGGGTAATAGCAGGTGGTGGGACAAGGTTGTAAGTTGCTAATATGACCTGTCGTGTAGATTCCAATAAATGTAGGGGTGAAAATAATTCAGAAAGAATTGATGATTATGTGTGATGGGTAGTTTTGTAGATGTTCAACATGATGAGCACAGTCTTAAAAGTCATTTACATAAATTGGTTTAAATCCCTTATTTCTCTCTTTAGACTTAGTGGGTATCACTTCCTGCAATGACTTTTATTTTTTATAAATCCCACTTTGAAAGCGTGATGTGTAAAAAGATTTAATGAAGCCCTGACATGGCTCAGCAAGTTACTGAGCAGTATGATGGGAATGAAACGTGCTGGTAGCATACCTTAACTTATCCTGCTGCAGTTCAGCCTGATTTCAGCTCAGCAGGTTTGACGATAGTTTGGTCTCATTTCCGTTGCCCTGTGGACCAATAACGGGTACTGCTTTGGTATCTTCTAGTAGGTGGTATTAATAAAGAAGACAAAAAGGTGCCTTTTAGACATCAGGGAGTCCTTTCAGCCACAAAAATAAATAGCATATATAAACCATTGAAGAAGGAAAAGCAAGACTGAGGTATTTATCCCATTTGCCCTTTTATGCTTGTTCTCTACCTAAACACCTTCTGACCTTATGCAGAAGATCGGGTGAAGGAAAATAAGGAGGAACTTGCTCCTTGTACAGTGTTCTCTTTAAAGTCAGGCTTTTTCCATACAATGGGTGCAAAATCTGATTAGTCGTAGAAACCATCATTGATCGCAAGTCTTCTGTCAGTGAGGTAATTAGGGTCGCAGACAGAATTAAAGTAGACTTCCAGTGTTTTGCTGCCTTCTATTTTTGTTGTAATATTTAAGAACCAGTATTATGGAAATTCAGTTGTCAATCACACGTGGCCTTTAAGCCAGCTGAGCGTTGCTAATACTGGAAATTCTTCTTATTGCAAAGTAGAGAAAAAAATTGTAAGCCACAGTTTTCATTTTAATCAAGCTCAGAAAAAATAAAAATAAAACATCCAGTTGTGCTTTGTAAATGCAGAAGAAAGACCAGGGGTAGGGCAAAATTAAATGACAAAAATTAAGTTAACAGGATTGGAAGTAACTGGAAGGAGATAGGTTCATCCGGATAACTCTCTTTAGCAGTCTCCCCGGTCCTCAGCAGTAGGGGAGTTTTTGGCTTGGACAGAGGAAGGCTCCTCCCAGTCATCCTCGTCAAAGCCATGAAACGTAGAAGTGTCGCTTTCTGAAGTGGAACCGAACAAGTCCTCTGCGTTGCTCATCTCCTCCTTTCTGCTTTCTCTTCCCAAATGAGCTGACATGTATGATGAATATATCAGCACAAAGGTTAAGTAACATACATTCAGAAATCAATGCATATTTACTAGCACAGCCACACACCAAGACAAAATAAGATGCAAAAAAAAAGCATTCATATTCAGAGGTTAAAATGAATCAACCATATATACAGATTGGCAGCAAAGGGGTTATTTTCATAAAATTCACTTTGAAAGAACGCCAAGCACAGGTATTGTATTGTTTGTAAACTGCTCACGGACCATTGCATTACCACTGTATATACCAACATGGAAGCATTTCCTTAACTGTATGCAAACTTTGCTAAAATATGATAATCAGTGAGCTTGAAGGGAACATGGTTTAACCAAAAGACATTATCCAGCCTAAGTACTTGCATCAGCTTGACAGCAAATGGTAACTAAACACACCAAAGCTTAAAGGCATATACAAATCAATATAATCTTGTTGAGAATTATGTCCTCTGTTAATTAAATATGCATGGCTGCTGTACAAGAAATACTATGATATTGCAATAATAATATTAAGCACAGACATTCCAAGTAGGGCTGCAACAACTAATCGACATAATCGATTATAATCGATTATTGAAAAAGTTGTCAACTTTTTCAATAATCGATTATAATCGGCTTCCGACCAGTTGGCCCTGTTCACAGCTCCACACGCTGTGCGCCGCACCTCCTCCCCACCTCACGCTCACTGCTGCCAGACCCGCCCAATCCACGCTCCACACGCCGCGCCTCCTCTCCGCCTCACACTTATCACCCCCCACATCCATGATCGGCACAGGGACGTGGGGAGATGTAGTAAGGAGGAGCAGGTGTGGGGTGATGACAGCCGCCGATAGACAGGTCCGATCTCAGAAGCAAGTTGCTGGAAGACTGCTCAGGTAAGCCTGCACTTCCCCCCCACATGGTGCTCTATAATGCATTGCTGGGATTTGTATTCCTCTATAGCTGATGGTACATTGTGCTGTATATTATACATAGGAATACAAATCCTAGCAATACATTATACACTGTATGTATAATGTATTGCTGGGATTTGTTGTACTCTTCTATAGCTGGTGATATTCCGCTTTGCGCTGTATAGAGGACTACAAATCCCAGCAATAATACATTATACAGTGGTGCAATGCTGAATACCACCAGCTATAGAGGACTACAAAACCCAGCAATAGTACATTATACAGCGCAATGCAGAATGCCGCCAGCTATAATGTACTATTGCTGGGATTTGTTGTATTCCTCTATAGCTGGTGGTATTCTGCATTGTGCTGTATAATGTATTGCTGGGTTTTGTAGTCCTCTATAGCCGGTGCCATTCTGCATTCATTGCTCTATAATTTTACACTTTCCATTTCACTATATTGCACACCACACTATCTTTTTTATTTTTTACTTCCACCGCTCCAAGCTTGCTCCTGTGATGGACTACAACCTCAATACAAACTAGTAGTCCCATCACTGGAGCCATTTTTTAAACTTTAAATTATTGTTTATCCGATTAACCGATTAATCGAACTCAATAATCGGCTAACTAATCGATTTTGAAAATAATCGTTAGCTGCAGCTCTAATTCCAAGTAGCCATTACATTAGTATAAACTGATTGGCACCTCTTTGCAAGCACTATCCTGTCTTAAAGTTGCATTCACTCCTGTCCAATTTCCCCAAGAATGATTTGACCAGTAGAGAATACCTTTCCAAGTGAAGTAAGATTAATGTGGATTCCACTTTTTGTTTTTGCACATACATTTCCTGTTTCTAGAATTTGGCTAAAAATTCCGCCCAATTTTCTGAAAATTTTTACAGCATACATCACAGAGCCAGGTTTATAAATAAATGTATTGCAAGAAACTGTTATTCATTTAATGGTGTGGAATATAGAACATGGTTTGATCACATGCATTTTAGATCACAAATCCGCTGGCATCATGAATTACTTGGGCCCCCTCCCCTTGTCAACGACTCAAGAACTATTTGTATATTCCACTTTGAGGACATGCTTTCACAGTGGCAATGCATACACAGATGAAAAGTGGGCCACACGTTTACAAATTGACGTTTAACTTGTGTGACCTGTGGACATAGTTGGCTGCAGGCTCATAAATGCAAATTATTATTATTTTTTTTATTCACTTTATATTTTATACTGCAGAGGTACTATTTGACCATTTTAATATGATCATAAATGCTTTTAAAGGACTGGAATAAATGTTTGTTGAATAAATACACTGCACAGCCAGTGTGCTCCAGTTCAGCAGAATAAACATATTACTAGATCAGGCTGATTGGACATTTTAACATGATGTCAGGGGACTTTGTGATCAGATTGTAAAGTGTTTTGCTAGCTGTATTGTTTTGTGTACACAAAAGTACAAAAAGATGCTGCTAAAAATATATGCACCAAATGATACGAACAGTAACAAATACAAAAAATAGCAATTGAATTGCTGCAATTTATGGCTCCATGGGAATTATTAAATGGTACACATCATTTTTGGGGCAAATTATATACCTGAAAGTACATGCAACTACCAGCTTACGTCAGGGCTCTGTGTGGACATATACTGTAGATGAAAAACTATGATCTAGAAACCCCTTATGTTGGGTAAAAGAGCCAACCGTCTGTCTTTTTTTTCTGTAGCTATTGGAGTGTCTCGTAGGAATATTTTATGGTGCATATTATTCACTAATCAGATTTATCCATAAGCAACTCAATACGGGAACATAAAAAATAACCTAAGCTTTTGTCTTCCGGGAACCTAGGTTTCAGGTCTCTGTAATATTTGCTCTGCATCTCAAAAGACTTTAAAGCAGCCTTACCTAAACAACTTTTGAGTTCTTTTGACCATTTTATGCATTTACTTGTTTTCAAATGCAGGCACAATTCCATGCATTGCAAATCTTTTAGCAGAGATTCGAAACAAAGAGGAATGACCTACCAGAACGTCCACAGTCAGCACAGGATACAAGCTCTTCAGGTTGTCCACTCTTCTTGTTCATGGTTGAGTCTCCGAGGCAGAAATCACAGTAGTTGTTTGAAAGTATAGCACCATCTGACCCTTTCCGAGCTAGAAAAACAACATTTATGTTAAATACCATTTCTCGCCCATTTATCTGCTCTTATGACCAGAACCACACTTGTCTGTTTTGCAGATGCATTTTCAATTTAAATCAATGGAAACACATGCCAACACGTGCTATAATATGAGTTAAAACAGGAACCAACACACATTATGTATCAACAGGTACACTTGATATGTATAGCTAAATGTTCATACACAATCATCTGCCAGTCAGATTTTGGGCCTGTATCAGCAGGCTTTGGGCTTGTGTTGATCAGTCTGCGATCATTTAAAATATGACAGGTGTATTTGACCTGCAGTTGACCTGCTTCAAGCAGGTTTTGCATTCCCATAGACTTGTATGGAAATGCAAAACCCATCTAATGCACACACAAACCCTAAAGCAACATGTCTCCCTTTTATGTGTTGTTTTATGATCAGCATAAGTCCACTTGCCAAATAGTTTCTGTGCACTGAAACGAAAACATTGTCTTTCTTAGCCAAGGAAAGTGGATTTCTATTGGCACGAAAGGAACCTGGTATGTTCCTTTATCTCAAGTGAACAACATAGCAGCTGAAAATATTCAACTTGGCAGATAAAGCCTTTTCTTCCAAGACAGCTACATACAATATTATTTTTACAAAAAGTGTTGATTACTTAGGGCGGTCATATACAGCTTGATCTTTGTAAGTAATGCCCTTAGTGCAGCAGCCAGAAGCACCTTTTGCTGCACAGAGATTTTCAAACTCAAACAGTCTTCATCATTCCTTCTGTATTCGTAATGAATATTTCAGCATGTGTGCACCACTAATGCCCATTGGAGCCAGATGGTGGTGTGGCATGGTGACAGTGTTTTAGCGTAAGATATTGGTCCAACTTTCTGTGCCGGTTTTTATCACTTTATTTCTTACATTGTAGATATGTCTATTCATTTGTTCTCTTGTGTGAAATCTTTTCATAGAGACTATATTAAGCCTTGAAAAATCAGAGTTTAGAAACTGAAACTACAAATAAAAATTATAATTCGGTTCTATTAACAGATAGAGCTTGCCCTGCTGTAATTACTGTTATACAATCTATAACCTGAGGGGAATAGTAAATACATACCCACTTAGAAATGTTATGTTATTAGGCTAGGGCTACATGAATCATTTGGTTTTTTGTAGCTCAAAAATTCCAGGAAATGTTTTTTTTAATCTGCTTTTAGAGTTACCTCTAATGATGCCAATCATGCTCGCTGTTGCGCAGTGTTACAATGATAGCTTTACCAATGCCAAATACTTCTGTCAGCACTGTGACTGATAATTCTGGTTCTTGTACAGTGCAGGGTTCGTTTAGATTACTCTTTCCTTCCTCTCCCCTCGTCCATTCCCCACAAAAAACTGTATTCTGTTCACATGCGTGAATGGACAGGGAGAGACATTTACCTGCCCCTCCTCTCCCCACAGTACAGCAGCAAGCAGGACCCAGAATTGTCATCATTAGAGGTAACTCCTTTACCAGAATAAAAAAAAATCCTGGAGTTCAACTTTAATATTATTATACAGGATTTATATAGCGCCAACAGTTTGTGCAGCGCTTTACAATATAAGGAAGACATTACAATCACAATACAATTAACAACATGATGGTAAGGAGGGCCCTGCCCCTGAGGGCTTACAGTCTAAAAAGGAGGGGGAAATGATACATGAGGAGGTAGCTTTGTTTGATAAAGTGAGGCTTCCTTGAAGAGATGAGTCTTAAGGGATCGCCTAAAGGCAGTCAGAGTGGGAGACGGGCTTTCGGGGGCAGAGTTGTGGATGGCTTTGTAAATAGTTGTTAATATTTTGAACTTTACCCTTTGGGCTATTGGAAGCCAGTGCAGGGATTGGCAGAGGGGGTATGCAGACACTGAGCGGTTGGTCAGGTGGAGGAGTCTAGCAGCTAAATTAATGACTGAAGGGGGGATAGCCTGTATAGTGGAAGGCCAATGAGGAGGGAGTTGCAATAGTCAAGACGAGAGATAACAAGGGAGTGGATGAGTAATTTAGCAGTTTCATGGGTGAGGAAGGGGTGTATTTTGGAGATTTTGCGAAGGTCAAATATCATAATATCATAAGATATCATTTGCTAAGAGTACATAGAAAATATGGCTCCCTTTGTTGTAAGCTACACAAGTAGAATGTGACACGACTGCACAATATTACTATTGTATGCAAAAATTCCTATTTCATGCTACTTGTAAAGCTCACATAATAGGGAGCCATTTATTCCATGTGTTTAGCAATTGGTGGCTACTCTTAACAATTTCAGTGGCTTTGATGAGCTACTAAAACTCGATTGCATAGCTGCAGCCTGAATCTGCACTCCATTGTCAATATAATTTGCTTTATGTGTAGTTTATTTGTCGTTAATGTGAGCACAATAAGCTTTAAAACTTGTGTCTGCTTCTACTGTGAATATCTGCTGTAGGTGAATAGTGAAATAAGAATGGGAGAATTTTAGTCACCTTTGCACATGCAAGTCAATGACATATTTAATATCCTAATTAAGAACAGCTTTCACAAGTATTGGTTTATTTTGCATTGCTGGGATTGTTTTCTGTATTTTGATCTCTGAGTGGTTTGTATGAACTGTTGATATTGTTGGCTGAAAGAATCAGCCCTGAGATATGTCTCAATGTATTATGCATTTCAAGCCAGGCTTCCTGTGGCTTGCATGGTGTCCAATTTGTGCCTAGGAAGAGTCGTGCTGATTTTCTTCTTCGCATGATAGGCCCCAAGCCTGTACTAGTCTGGCATGTTGTTATGGTAACCGGCACCCGTGGATGCTGCCACCTGTCATTACTTTGTCTGTTGTGTAAACCATTCCAGGCAGCCATTCTGAATCTGCTGATAAAACTCAACCTTTAGTAAAAGATCAGGAACAAGGGGCAGCACACGCTGTGTAACCTTTCATAGCATATTATGAGTTAAGTGTCCAAAGCAAGGAGAGACGTTATTCGGCTGGGTGTGTTTTTAACCTTTCCTGGGAAGCAGATCACTTATTTTCATTTATACTGTAAATAATGTTGATCATGAAATTGATGCTTTACTTTTAATATTTTATGTGAAATGTCAATTGAAAGTATGTAACAGTGAAACTAAGCTGCCAAAGATCAGATGGTGCACTCATATTTTAACTTTTTTTTAAAATTATTTTTCTCTGTTTTTATTAATACTAGCGAAAGTGTGCCTGTTCCGGAAGAGGAAAAGTTGGGGTTCTAAGAGCATGAGGGGGGAGAGTATTAGGCATGGTGCTGAGAGAAAGAAGGGGAGGGATGAGGGGCATTGGGTGTCAAGGAGGAAGGTGCGCTTCCTCCTTGATTGCGGAGAGGGGGTCACAGAAGTGTGGGAGCATGCACAGATAACATATGGAGGAGCAGAGTACAGATGCACCGATGGACAGAGGAATGCAGGGCGGGGTGCAGGCACACTTGGCACTGGGAGGTTAACTGCAGGCACGATAAGTGGAGAAAGAAGGGAGGCTGAAGATGGGGTGGATGCTGAAAGATTAGTGATGAGAAAAGGGGGGAGCAGGCGTGGATGGAGGTGAGAGAAAAAGAGGTGCAGTAGGAGGTGAGACAAGGAGGGGCTGCAGGAGTGCTGGGTGCTGAAGAAAGTGGGGTAAAGGTGCGCTGGGTGGTGAAAAAAGGTGGAGTGTAGGTGCAGTGAGAAGGGGGGTGCAGTAAGTGCTCTGAAAAGGGAGTTGGGGATGCAGTGAGTACTGAAAGGAAGTGATACAGTGTGTACTAAATGTGCAGTGTCAGTGAGTGGTGAGAGAATAGGGGGTTGTATAGAGGGGGGGGGGGGTGGGGCCCTTGGGGGGGGGGCAGGTGTGAATTCTTAAGAGGGGAATTCAACAGCATAAAAATAGCCTGACTTCAAACATGGGAAGAGCAAATACAAATAACCATGCTTTCTTTAAGAGCTAACAATGTCATGTGCTTAGGAAGGGTCATGCTGTTATCTTTGCATGTCACCTGCCATAGTAGTAATCAGGCAAGGCTCATCCAGAGGCTGCGTTCATGTAAGGAGGCTTAGTCCTCTTGAAACAATTGTTTAATCAAATAGAACAGAAAGTATGCCTGCAGCTAGGCCAGCTTGCCTTAGACAGAAGGTCAATGTAATTACCTTTCTTGCTTTCCTTTTTATTACAAGGTAGGGATATATTGATACTCTTGCAGAAGTCTTATTGAATTTCACATTATTTGAAACAGATGGCCAAAAACATTGCTGTAACAGTGCTGCATTTTGATGATGACAGCCTACAGAAGGCTCTACCTTGTATACAGTGTTGAGCAGTTACTGAGGAGTGGGTTTTATACAAATTGTATTTTGTAGCTTGCCAGAATAAATTATTAAGTCTTTTAAAGTCGATGCAGTGTGGCCATTAGAAACTCTGTTTCTAAGGTGTGGGAGCTCTAGCTCATATGGATGAATATACAAAGCAAGCAATGGCTGTAGACGTTGGGATCTCAGTCTGCAGTTGCCCCTTAACCCCTTCATGACTGAGGCCCTTTTTTCATTTTTTGCACCCATGTTATATTCCACATTTTAGGCCTGAAAATGACGTAAAACCCCCCAACATTATATATTTTCTGAATGCCAAGACCCTATAGAATAAAATGGTGGTAGTTGAAAATTTTTATGTTGCGCAATATTAGCGCAACTCCTTATTAAACCCCAAAATTTAGTGACAAATTTAATTAAATGCCCCAAAACACAACAAATTACCCATTTTTTAAATGAAATATAAAAGATGAGGTTACAACGAGTAAAACGATACCCAACATGCCCAGTTTACAGATTGCGTGCGACCGTGAAACGGCGAAAAACTGCAGTACCCCAAAAA